GCGAAAAGGAGAATGGTAATCAATATTTTGGCCGCGGCTATTACGTCCAATTAATGCGAATGTTGCTGTTTGCCTCCAAAGGCCCGCGGTATTGATTCACCCGCCGCTCGTATATCCGCGGGTCCTCGTGTTGGTGGCGGCGCACAGCCGCGTGTTTCGTCGCAGCCAAGAAAAATTTCTGCATGCGAATGTGCTCTCCGCGCTCGGACACCGAACGGCTCCCGAGCAACAAATATTAGCTCGAGCCACCGCCGTTCCCGGCGCTCTTTCGTAAATTGCTACGTTTACCCGGAACGATATCAACACGTTGACCGCCGACGGAATTTCAGGAAGTTCCGTACGAGTCGTTCTTTCGCGAATTGAAACGGTGTTAACCCTTTGCACTCGAGAGGCGACTCTCGCTCGCCGTTTGATTTACAGTGAAACTATGGAATTTGTTGTTTAACCCCTTGCTCTGTAATGTCGTGTTAGACTCGTGGCGAGAATTTCAAATAGAATTTAACAAACATAAATTTTAGTTTTTTTTAATATAAATTACATACTGTTTCTCTGTTATTAGTGATTACACCTTAGAGCACACGTTGATATAGAATAAGACTAGAATTTTCTCTTATCTTCGATGAATTATTAATAACAAAGTGATCGATCGGAGTTCAGAGAGAAATCATAGGGCAAGGGGTTAATATTATACCCTGTATAATCCATCAATTTGAGAAATATTGAAATAAAATAGCTAGAGTTAGTTTCATAAATTGTTGTCTTTGTCCCATTAGGAAGTCTTGAAATATTTCTAGTGATAACCTTCGAAAAAGGGTTAACCCCTTTGCACCGGGGAGTTTTTTAGTAGAAATGTTCGAACACTTTCCGATGAGAGACGGTATTTTGTGAATCTAAGTGGAAGTTAGAGGAAGACATCACGTACATCGAGGAATAAAATTGTTTTATTACGATATTTCTGAAACTGATACGTTTGTACGAGGTGTGACATTAAATGGCAAGTTTTATGGCTTCACCGTATGAAATCTTGTGGTGAATGAGAGTCGTATCTTGAGTGCAAAGGGTTGAAAATAATGATTGACCCTTTGCAGTCCGCGGGCGACTCTTAATCGTTAAACGATTTGGTACAGCGAGATTATGAAGTGTAATAATTAATGTTAAGTTTCTTGTGACGCATTGATACGTGAGATATTCGAATTAGAGATTTCTCGTTGAGTTAGTTTCAAGGGATGTTGAGTATGTCTAATCAGAAAGTGTGTTGAATATGGTAACTTCCTTGAACTATCGCGATGGAAATGAAATTTTCAGCTGTAGACGTTGATTTAGGTGATTTTAGGATGAGTGTTTCTTGAGTCTCTGCGGTTGGAACGTGAGATTTTGGTTATTCTTGCTTTTAGACTGAAGGTGTAATTTTTATTGAGTAATATGGAAAATTGTAATGCGTAGAAAGGGGATATTAGAATGAGAATGATGGAAGAAAAGAAGGAAGGGATTACGTATTGAAAATAGTATGAATATATCGCCAGGAAATAAATGTAACACGTAGAGGCAAGTTCAGCGATTAACGAGCGCTATTAATCCCAAGAATATTCGCTGTCTCACCCGGAAATCCATTAGTGTCCACTATTTTCATAGCTGCTTAATTGATGAAACAGTGCGCAATCTGCTCCAGCCCGGAGCTATAAATATTCTACCACCAACAAAACGTTATACCGATAAGACACGAGCAATCTTTTCAACGTTGTCATTCTCGTTACAAAGGAAACACGTATATCAATGCCTAACGATCACCGTACACCTCCCACGAAGCACAAAAGAATCTCGGAAAGAATAAAAAAGAAACGCAGTCAGATAACAAAATTCCGAGCAAAGAAACGAAAACGCGATTAAATCGAGAAAGAACGCGAGCAACGGGACGTAACGAGTTTAATGGCGGCGGTGGTCGACGGCCGGCGTTGAGAGTCGCGATAAGGATAAATTAGCTCGTGCCAAAAACACGTGTAGCTCCCCGGGACGACCTGGTATTTGATTTGTTCGATCGGAACAGGCGGCAATCCCGAAGACGCGAGAGTGCCGCGTCGGTATTTCATCGTGACGGCAATTGCGCGACGCGCCGTTGTACAATTCGCGATAATGCGTCGCCTCCTCGTAGGAAAACTGCATTAATTGTCCGGATTGTCGTTCCCGGTGGCGACGTTCCAATGTGCCGGCCCCGTTCCGTCGTCGGCCCTCGGTTCACGGTTCGTGTTCATAATCGAGTGAATGGGAAAGTGTCATGCGAAACTTGCCGGAGACGTTAATGGAGCCGCAACGACCGTACTTAGGACTCGTTACAATGCCGGGGCACGCTTCTATCGTCGCCGCGGAAACCGGGACAATCGCACGTATATACATGAAACCGTGGCCGAACTTCGAATTTTCGTGGCAACGGAAACAGGAACTCGGCGAGCGATAATTAAACGGGCGTTTTTGCGCGGCGGGGAATTAAGGAAACGACGCGACGCGACGCGAGGCGAGGCGAGGCGACGCGTCGCGTGCGGCATCGCGTAGGATTGCGCCAAGATGGCGGACCGCTAGACGGAGTGCAGCACTTACGAGAACTCTTGTTCTCAACGCGGCGCCTGATAATGACTTTAATTTATCATCCTTGCGGTTCGAGTTGTCCAATAAAAGGAAGCAAACGTATAACAAGGAAGTATCGTACATTTAACAGTGTAATGTATAATTCTCTTCAGTCTAATGTATAATGCATCAAATATTTATCTGTAACAGATATTCCTTCAATCTTTATCGCGTCGGGATATAGTATAACTATTCTAATATCTTCTCAGGGATTATAAGAAACTAATTTTCAATATATCAGACTTCTCCGCTTCGCAGCGATCGCGTAGCACGATATCGAGCGCGATCTCGAATCCCGTAACTTCTCGAACAGCCCGGGAAACGGCGAAAAAATCGAGTGGAACGGCCCGTAATAAGGGAATCGCGGGGGCCATTGATAACCGTTCCGCGCTAATCGAGGAGAGTTTCCCGGCGGGACGCGGAATAGGGGGAAAAACAAGGGGAAACCGTGGAACGATTCGGAAAAGACGGCCGCCGGGGGCGGCGGTAACCGCCTGCACGGATGTCGGACGGCGTTGAAATGAAACGCGCAGTTTCATAACCGAGTTATCGTGAAATTTTATATCCGCCCGCTCCTACACTTTCCTTAGCCATCCACTCGTCCCCTTTGACCCCGTTTCCAACATACTTGCCGTCATAATCCCGTCCCCGAGCAGCCGCGATCCCATCCACCCCCTCGACCCCTCCGACCCTCCAACGCCACTTCTACGAACGAGGTTCGACACTCTTCCGCTGGCACGCCGACAACAGGACTCGAATACTCCAACCCCCGTCGTCGCCTCTTGTTAAATCGCGATTAAAAAGTCGAATCAAGAAATCGTGTTACGCACGTCTTCCTTTTTCCCCCCTCTCTCTCCCTTTCCTCTTGTTAACACCTTCGCTGCACCGTATCGCGACAGGCTCTCGAGAAAGATCCGTAGAGGAAGATTCTTTTTAAGCGAATCGGATATTTCCTTTTCGAATTACGCGCGATATTTAGGCGATGGAATGTCATTGTTGACCCGTTGTCCTATAATTCGTTTCTCGACTATGATCGATACTACTTTGTCGTTAATAGTTTATTAGAGAAGGGAGTTTTGATGCTTGCTCTATGTCTATATTAGCTCGAAAGGTTGGAGATTGATAATAGAAGCGTAATATTTAATTTACGTTCATAGGAAATCAATAACACTTGGATATCTCAAATTCAGGTAATAATTTTTATCGCGAGTCTGTCACGTTGTAGGTCAAAGGATGTTTAGATGTTTTCTTATTATCAATGTTTGAATATTACTCTCTTGTTATTTAAATATTGTGTTCTTGTTATCATTGATATTTTAATATTCTCTTACTATTATCGATTATCGCGCCTCGGAACAAACGCGGATGGAGAAAATTCTTTGCCTATAGCGAATTATCGATGACAATGATTCCGGACGCAGTTACGCGAGAAGTCACGGAGGAAATGAATGCTTAACGCGGAAGAAAACGAGGAGAAGGTCCGACGATGCTCCCTGTTTATCCGATATGGTTTCCGAACTTCTGTTCCCCGTTCTCCTCGGTTTCCCCGTGTTTTCGTACGTCTTCGCTTTCGATTTCTTCCGTTCGCTTCCCCTCCGCCGATCGGACGGAAACGAGCGAGCATCCGCCGCTATAAAGTTTTTCTATTACAAACGAAATTCCGATCTGCCGCTCCCCCCTCGGGGCGGGTTTATTAAATTTCACGAGGCTTCTCGTTTTCCTTCGGAGACTGCTCCCGCGGAAAGTTTAATTGCTACGCATAAAGTGAACCGGGATCGATACCCGCCTTCTTCTTTCGACGAGGGGGAAACGAGGAAGTGGAAGTTAATAGTGCCGGCTTCTGCACGCCGGTTCCCTCGAAAACCGTTCGACCCGGGGGTTCAACTTCGAGCGATTCCTGGTTTGTAATTACTGTTTGGACGGGGATCATCGAGGCCGGTAATTTTTCATTCGCGATCGAACTCGGCCGACTCTAAACCTGACGGTAATTCGAAGCTCTTTATCGGTTTCATTAGCGTAATCTATCAGACTATAAGTATTCATGGAAGTTCACACGTTCCGGTAATAATTCACGCGAGAGAAAATTGCTTTCTTATATTAAATCTAGCGTGTCGATTACCGTTCACTCTTACGATATAACAATACACATAAAAAACACTTTTCTTCGTCGCAATGCCGACGCCTTAACTTGTTCAATTAAAACCGAGAATCGCTAGAAACGACTCGAATATCTAATCCACTCCACAATCCAGCTTATGCATTGAGATTCAAACTTGAAACCGTTCTGTCCCAGAATACCTGAGCAGCCAGTCGCAAGAGAACAGCCCAACAGGAACGAGAACACCCGAGCAGGATGCGTGCAAGGAAAAGCCAAACGAGCCGAGCAGCATGGCCGCGGTTTCTCCTCTGGCGAACAATGGGCCAGTCGCTGGAGCGGAGCTTCCGGCGGCGCGGACGGAAGCGACGACGGTGATCGCTTGTACAACAGGATCATCGTCCTTGATCAGTCCGTCGCCGACAGGCCCGACTCCCGTCGTCGAGGCCACTGCGACCAGCACAGCGACACCGTTCACGATCCCCAGGTCGCCTTGCAGAACGACGGTGGATCAGCAATCGACGTCATCGACCATCCATCATTCTCCACCCGGCGAACCGTCGCCGCCTTCGAGCACAGCCACGCCGTACCACCTGGAAGACACGAGCAATCACTCGACGACGGAGTCCAGGATAGGGTCCAGCTGCAGCGTGATCAGCTCCAGTCACGTGTCCTCGATGTTCAAGGACCGTTCAGCGGCGGAGACCGAAGCTGCTCACGATCTGCTGGAACTGTCCAGGTCGCTGCCGCCGTTGCCACCTCCCAGCGTCGCCATCGGGCCCCAGAGCGTCATAGAGACGCCGGCGACGGACATCCAAGAGATGACGGTGTACCAGCCGGACCAACCGATCTACCAAGTGAACACCATCGACCTGGCCAGCTCGACGGTCTACGCGCACCATCAGCAGCAACAGCCGTCCGCGGCGAGCATCATCTACGAGCCTAGCGCGACGATAGTCCAGCAGACGGGGAGCGTTTTCATCCCCCTGTCGCCTGTCCAGGAGATCCTGCTGACCTACAGCGCGCCATCCATCCCCTGCACGCCTATCGTAGCTCAACAGCCGCTGCAACCACCGCCGCAACAGCAGCAGCAGCAGCAACAGCAGCAGCAGCATCAGGCGATAGAGTCTGCGCCGCCGCTGACGCCGCCCACGTCCGAATGCAGCAGCGATATTGAGAATAACAACCCGAATTCGCAGCCCAGTCAGAAGGACAAAGAAGTGCAGACGGTGATCGAACAGGCTGAGGCTAAACCGGCGAGCTACACGTACGACACGCTGCTGGTAGCCGACGGTCGGTCGAAGAACAAGAAGACCGCTGCTAATCAGAAGACGCCCGAGGCTGAACCTGTTGAAGCGCCTGAGACTTCGAAGATCGGCCGATACGTGTGCTGCGAGTGCGGTATGTCTTTGAAATGGACTTCTTTGGTTGGTGATTTGATTGGCACGTCGGTGGATAAGATTGGAAGCTAATGTATAGCTAGACGTGAGAATTTAAAGCATTTAATGAACGCTTTTCTAATGAACATTGTGAGAACTGGTTCTATTTATGGAGGAATTAAGCTACAGAATTAATAAGCTTCGACTGCTATAATGGATACGTGCCATTTGACAATCAAACTGAACCGTCTACTTCGTTGCGACGTTGAATCATTCATTTTACATAAGTGGACAGTCGTTAATATTAACGTCACTGTCGAAGCATTTAATACGACTGACACGTATCCTCTATAGAAATTGAATAGATCATTTTCGGTTTCTTCGAATATTCATTATAACATTCAAGTGAAACCATATATTTCTCATTTCGAATATTCTATGGTACTCCATTCTATTAGATAAACCAAGAACCGAACGTCTGATCCGCAGGCAAGCAGTACGCGATCTCGTCGAACCAACCTCCGATTTATTAACACTAGAACAACCAAGCATTTAATACCACTGAATCCTCTATACAAATTGTACTAGATTATTTTCGGTTTTTTCAAACATTCATTATAACATTCAAGTGCAACAGGATCTTGTCGAACCAGCCTCCGATTTATTAACACTAGAACTACCAAGCATAATACGACTGAATCCTCTGTACAAATTGTAATAGATCATTTTCGATTTCTTCGAACATTCATTATAGCATTCCAGTGAAACCATATATTTCTCATTTCGAATATTCTATGGTACTCAATTCTATTAGATAAACCAAGAACCGAACATCTGATCCGCAGGCAAGCAGTACGCGACCTCGTCGAACCTGTCCCGGCACAAGCAGACGCACCGCAGCATCGATTCCCAATCGGCGAAGAAGTGCATCCACTGTGGCAAGGCGTATGTCAGCATGCCCGCCCTCGCGATGCACGTGCTGACGCACAAGCTGACGCACAGCTGCGGCGTCTGCGGGAAAATGTTCTCGCGACCTTGGCTCCTGCAAGGCCACCTGCGAAGTCACACCGGCGAGAAGCCGTACGGTTGCGCCCATTGCGGCAAGGCGTTCGCCGACCGCTCGAACCTGCGCGCCCACATGCAGACCCACTCGGCGGACAAGAACTACGAGTGCCACAAATGTCACAAATCGTTCGCCCTCAAGTCATACCTGAACAAGCACCTGGAGTCCGCCTGTCAGAGGGAGAACGACGACAGTAGCAACGACGTTGACACGCCGGTCTAAGGCCGAGGGAGCGTCGCGTCGAGGCTGACCGAGGGTCAACGACACGGTCGCTGACCGGACAGGTAAATTTATTTAGCCGAGCCGGCAAAAGGTATTCCATTATTAACCCTTTGCACTCGGAACTTTCTCGCTAGAGATATTCAACGTTTTTTTCTTCACGAAACAAAGACGATATCTTGTGAAACTAAGAAGAAAAATCACAAGTACATACAATAATCAGAAAATTGAAGTAAAAAGTTCACATGTGACTCTGTCACTCATGAGAATAAAGGGAGAGATTAAAATGTTACTGTTTCTTTATAGGGTCGAGATTTTAAAAGCGAAACTGTTGGAAATACGATCTGAAATAATCAGAAAATTGAAGTAAAGTTCAGTGACTCACATTTGTCGACAGTAAATTATTGACATTGTAACTTCGATGGTCTAAGATGTGGACGCGATAGTTGCATACGTTGTTGAAGTTTTCGTTATCCTTTATTGTTACTCTTATCAGAAATAAATTGTTGATACAGCAACTTCGAAGTTCTAGGGAGAATGTTAGCCCTTTGCACTCGGAGGGTTTTCTCTAGAAATATTAGAACAGTTTCATTCTAAACTCTAGAAAAACATTTAACACGTTGACGCTCGTTTTGAAAAAAGGTTAGCATTAAGAGTTTCAAGATGACGTGTATACTCGTCGAACACAGTTAACTGGTTAAACTTAACGCAACTCAATGACATTTATGCTTGTCAAACCATATTAAAAATCTCCGCCTCGTGTCTGACACGATATTCTAAGGCAAGGTGTTAATCACAGCTTAACAGCGACTTCTCTAAACTAGTGGGCGGAGTCAGTCCCGCCCACTTCCCCCTCTCCACTCGCCTATGCCCGGTAACAGTCCCAAATTTTCTCAACTATACTCAAGCCCTCGTTTGTTGGAAAAAATCCCATAGGCTTTCAGACGCCTTAACACGTTAAGCGCCATGAACGACTAGAACATAGCGCACCATAACGTACAAGATAACCGACGTGAAATCAAAATATTCAACAACGTAACTAAGTCAATAATACTGTAATGCAAACATTGTGACGCCGAATAATTAACACATCGAACGCCATGGGAGTCACCGGTGAAACCAAATTGAACGACTATAATTCCCTCAATGAAACCACGGTTATTTGTTAACATTTCTATATCACGAACAATGCTAATTTCGTGACATTCAGCTCGAGGAACGTGCGACAATAATGCAATTCAATCAAACGATTTAATATCATATTTTTCCCATTCTTCTTTGTGTTCTTTATAAAATCGTGCGGCATTCAACGTGTTAATTGTTCCTGCTTTCGTTTATTACAAAAGAGAAACACAGGAGAACGCTTAACCCCTTGCCTCACGATTGATTTCTCAACTATGATCGATACAATTACTTTGCAATTAATAATCGAAGTTGAATATATAATATTTCAAATTAAACCTCGCAAAACACCTTTGTTGCTTAATTTATCTATGAATTATCGTTAAATCAGTCTCAAACAATATCACCTGTATCTCGTCAGAAAGTGTTGAATATTTCCATCGAAAAACTCTCGAGTGCAAAGGGTTAGATTTAATACTCTGTTTACATGGCAATAATGAACGATGTAAAACAATTCTGTTGGCCAGCCAGCGACCGAGCCAGGGACTATGTCGCCAGATTTCATGAAAGAAGAGAAGACAGTGCGCAAGTTCACGGCTAGGTGAACAATTTCACGTTCCCGTCGGCCAGAAAGTGGAAAGCGAACGTTTTCGGGCTGTCGGATCCGTGTCGAGGACAATGGGTCAATTCAAGTCTGAATCGGTCTGGTCGGAACTTTGATAGCTTCAACGGTGACTGCACGAGTTCATCACCTCTCCCCTTCTTTTCCTTTTACATCCTCGTCTCGAAAAGCTTGCAGCGACAGTTATGATTCGAAATCACACGTAATTAATCGATGAACTTAGAACAATCGGACAGAAAAAGAAAGATCTACACTATTCTCGCACGGTGAAGGAACTCGACAAACGTCATCGTGGATGCTAACACGAGATCAGGGACGATCGGACACCGAACTTCCGCCATCAACACACATTATCGGTAAGCGAACAACATTCGAATCCATTCCGGCGACCATTCGAACCGCGACAGTGCTGCCGACGAAGGGATCGGTGCTCAGGAGTCGCTTCCAACCACAATTTCCGTACTTCGCTTTCACCGAGGGTACCGTTTACGAAAGCACCAATCGCGAAACGATGCGAACGCGACTTCGAACGACAAACCCGACTAATCTACACGCCGTGGATTCGATCGCAAACAACGCCAGACTGCCAAATAAAACGCAACCCTTCGAGCTTCGAGTAAAAGCAACTTTCACCTTCTACTTCGCAAAAAGAAACGAACCAAAAGTCGCACGAGCGATTACCTCGAATTACCGGAAATAAGACGCGGGGGTTGGAAATTCCCATGAAGATCCGTTGCCTTAAGGTCCAATCTCATCGGGAATCCTTCGTTCAGTTTGGTGCTCTCGTAATCCCCGTTAGAAACAGCGCGTCGGCGACGGAACGCGACGACGGGACGCGCGCGCCGGGCGCTGCATCGAATTCCGATGCGCGGCCGGCGATCGGTGGGTGGACACCGAAATCGCGATGAGCGCGTGGGTGGCCTCCGATATCGAGCGATCGGCTTTCGAATCGGCGAGCGATATCGCCGTCGCGGGCGAGGACGCACACAGGTTTCTTCGCATCGATCGGCCGCGACTGGCTGTCGCGACGCGTTCCCGATTCGATTGCGAACGGCATTCTTTTCATCCCCCCGCTCGCCCGGCGGGCAATCAATAGCACGGCTTCGGAAGAAAACGAATTTAGCGCGTAATTAGGCTGTGGTTATGTCGGACGGATATTATAACCGGCGCTCCGAACGGCGAAGTCGGGCGAATCGGTGATCCGATTTCGCGTGAAGGCTAATTGATCGACGCGTCGCCGCTGTTCGTTCCGATCGCGGTTCCCCGAGTTTCGACGTGCCATTGAGACCTACGGAATCAGATTCCAAACGACACACCGAGAAATCAAACTGGGTTCGTTGTGCAATCTTTGAATAATCGTTTCCGCAGCGTTCGCTCGATTCCTTCGCGCAATGGGACTGCTGTTACGAGTATCCGAGGTGACGTGTTCAAATGCAACTTTCATTCGACTGCGAGTTGGCCGTAGTTTTTAAGTGGGGTTCGCAGGAATCGATTTGAACTTTAGTAAGTGAGAAACAGGGGAGACAATTTGTTATCGAATCAGTTACTAGATAATATCGATCGCCACCGACTCTGTCCAAGTGCAATCCAAGAGCTCGCCGGGACGGTAATGACAGTCCAGCGTAACCGCAGCTTTAGTCGAGGCCGCGCGATCGCGCCGTAGAATCGATACAATACTATCAAGGGACCATCAGTTTACCAGTTCACCATTCATTCCCGGGGAAAATACGACGAGGGTTGGGGAGGAGGGGGACCGACCCTTCTCGCGGGAACTCGAAACCGTTCCGAACGAAGATGAAGCTTAACACTTGATCCGTTGCTACACTGTATTCGCAGAGAACAGCGCGAGCTGTTCACGAGTTTCAACATTTCTCTTAAACATCGAGTAAACGAAAGTACAAGCAACCAATTCACTTCTTCATCGAACAAGCGATCAAATATTCATCAAAGGGTACTACGTACTTACGCAATGAATACAGTTAATTGCCGAACCCGGTGGTGCAGTGAAAACGGGTTCGCGCTCGGTCCCGGGCAAAGGGTGTCGCGGGAAATAAAAGGAAAGCGAGAAGTTCCACCGTCGTCGGGCTTTTAAACGTGAAAAACTGCATCCTGCATCCGAAACCGCAAGAGGAACTTCTATTTATAGCGGCGCCGGGTTTGCCGCTGCGCTATATCGATCGCGGTTTATTATTTTATCTTTTTAACGCGCTCGCGATGAGCGTGGACGTTGAAAAATCGTAAAATTAACCGTAACGCGTCCGATGTAAATCGGAAGGGACGAGGCGAGAGAATCGATGGGGAAACGACGACGGCGGCGAAAGAAAGAATCGGTCGGTTTCGCCGATCGTTTCGCGAAAAAGTTCACGTCGGAGCCCGAATTTCCTCGGCGGCGCCGAGGGGGTGGACCGGGGGTTGCTCCTTTTTTCCGGCGCTCCATCGGCGTTCTCCGCGCACAATGCGACCGGGCACACGTCGAAGGTTTTCATCACATTTCACGTAAACTGGACCACCTGTTGAACGCTGGAATGACCATTCGGCGGCGAAAGGGTCGGTCGTTCTGCTCCCCTGAATTATAGAACATCCTCCTGTAATTTCCTCGTTGTTAAATGCGCGAAACGCGATCGCGACCAATTGCGGCCCCGCCGACCGTAAAAGTTATCGGCGATTTTTTTCCGTACGCCCGCCCGCGCGCGCGCGCCGTATCCCGCATGAATCGCGTCTAGTCCGGCGAGTGTTTTATTTATCCGTTCGATTAGTCGGTAAGACCGATGTGTACATACGTGGATATTTTTAGATCGAGCGTTAGGGGAAGCTCGAATTGTTTTTCGTTCCGTTCTAGTCTTAACGTTTTATTGCGACTTCGAGATACTTTGTGCACAGGGTATGCGATGGGTTTTCTAATGGGAAAGGAGACTGAAATAGTTTGTGCGAAGGTGATTTTAGAAGGGAGATCGTTTGAATTAGAAACGGTGGTTTCGTAGAATTTTAGTTTCCATAGGTTAGAAATAATCCTTCTGTTTAGGAGTGCAATAATATATTCCGAACGCCCTGTATACACAATGCTGAAAAGAGAATCTCAAAGGATTCCGGCTTGCCCATCTCGTTTCGAACCGCACTGAGTTAATATTAATTTATATTCGAAGCTGTTGATCCAACAGCGAATTGTGATATTAATTTAGAATCGAATCGTGGGGATGCCGAGGGGGGAGGAAAAAAATCGCGGCGAGCGTGAACGATGAAAGGAATGCCGGTGTGAATT